ACAGTCCTGATATTGTTTCAGTTTGTACTGGGGATCAAGCAAAATTTGGCTATCCACAGCTGCGAAAGAATGCAGAGACCTACCCCTGTCTCTTTTCGTGATGCCATGCTGTGAGAATATTTCAGCAAAGATAAAGAATCTAAACCAAATCATGTAATACAGATTAAGCAAACTTAAAGAAAGCATCAGTCAGCTGTGGTTCAGATCTTTAAAATCTTTTGCTCTTCACTTGTATTCCTGCTATGTTTGTCTCATCCTTTCTGCATCTGAAATGCCTATTACCTCAATTTTTAGAAGCTACAGTGAAGTAAGTGCTAATCAAATAAACAGCACATTTGGTATAAGCTGAAGACATCTTCATACTGTTGACTGAGTCTGATTACCATGGTGACTTGATTTCAGTCAAGGCAATTTAGATTGTGACTTAAAATAAAATTACATTATTTATATTAGTTTAGGGTTTGCTTGTTTAAAAAATAAAAAAAATAGCAATGAACTAAACCAGCTTTTCATCAGAAGAATGCAAATATGAAAGCCAGAAGATACTGAAGTATCTGTCCTTACAAAAGATAGTTTTCTTTAGGTTCAAATGAATAATTTTAATTTTCTGCTATGTGTTGGCTGTTTACACTGCTTAAAAAAATCTGAGGATATGCAGCAACTATGAAAAACTTCAGCGGTGTTACACTGAATGGAGATTTCTTGCATACTATGCACTGCTGATGCCTATTACGCTTTCTTTTACAAATATGCATAACGTGCATATAATTCACTATTTCATACCGCTCAAACTCACAAGACATTAAGAATCAATAAATATGTGTACAAAATAATTTTCTATATGTTATGCCTACACTTGAGGATCACACTCCCTACTTCATCCCCACTTTACTTTTGCTAGCTTGGAGACGTTCTTTGTTACACATTCAAATCTGAGGCTGAAACTTAATTCTGTGTGGAGGGTATAGAAAAGGAAAATTCTGGACTTACTATCAGTAGGTACTGGACTTACTATCAGTGCAGAAAAACCCCTCACACAGTTTACAGATACTTCAAGCACTGCCATTATGTTACTAAATGGCAGCCAGCTTAGACTTGGACAACCCATCTGCACTAGGCAACCAAATCTTCTGCATGAGAGCCTAAATTGTCCATATAACCAGCCGAAAGAAAGAAGTGTCTTATAAAGGTGCACAAAGGGAGATTACACCAGCCCACCAAAGCAGCACTACTTCTGTTCCCTGACAGTAAAAGCAATACAGACACATGCTCAAAAATATCAGTCTGCTGGCTAAATTTAAGACACAGCTGGCTGTTGGAAGTATGTAGGCTGGGTCACTCACTGCTTTACACGGGGACAATGAATTTCAGAAAAATCTGATGGTCATTCATTTTGCATATATTTATACCAAAAGGTGTTAAGTTAGGTTGTTCGCCTTTTTGAGGCAGGCAAGAGAAAAAGAGATGTGGATCTATCTAACTCTATCACATCCTATGAACAAGAAAGTCTTGAGATCTGAAACCATGACAATACTAGATGAAGCTTTCTGGGTTTAGATGCATTAATAATTTAGGAAAATTGATCCTGGCATTTCTGTTCCAGCTGATTATTGTATTATTTACGCTTCTTTATGTTTTGGGTTTCAACTCCCTCCCTCCTCCCCTAGGAGCTGTGGACTGCAATTTGCTTTGCATTATTCTGCCTTTTGCATCAGAATTGCCTAAGAAATGAAAACAAATGGAAGGAAATAAACATAAAAGCCACAAGGACCTAGCTTATGATTATTTTATACTTCAATATTTGATCATGTGAGATATTTTGGGCAGTCTGCAATAGATATTAGGTCACAAAACACACTGCTCGCTCCATCCCAGTCTTTAGCTTTCCACAGCAGAGTACTTTTAAAGGGCTGACAGATTTTTAAAGTTTGTATGTATTGGCTACAGGCTTATTGCAATGTCTTCATTTCCACACTCAAAGAAACATTGACTTCTGTAAGTCAGCAAATAGGTTACACAGCTAATTATAAAAGAACAGGCAAAATAAATGAAGTGACAGTGTAAAGTCAAACAAGTCCCCTTCCTGTTCTGTATGCACAGACTCCACACAACTTTCAACTGTTGCCTTGGTTTTCAATAGAGGTCAGAGAAAGAACAATATATCCACCATATGGCTGCTTAAGTCTAAGGAGCTGACAAACATGATGTGCTACAATTTTTCCAAGAGATAACAAAGTCTTTTTTTCAAGCATCTTTTGCTTTAATTTTCAACATACTCTGACTCATGAATGACCAACTTGCATTAACTTTACTTACACTGAATGGGTTCATGCTGGAAAACTAGTTCAAATGACTCCTGTAAAGCAACACTGGATGCAAGAAACTCCTCAATCTGAGTAAAATCTGTCAGTAGGCAAATAGTGGTTTTGAGCAGCAGGTGTTTTGGGGCCTTTACCATGTTGCTTGCAGTCTGAGCAACAGCAGTATTAATATCTGCTCAAAACTCAGACAAAAACGAAACGAGGTTCTCAGTACCTAAATTGTAACTAGACCTGATAGAATAAGACAATTTTTCCGTTACTAGAAGCTCTAACTGACCACAAGTCCTCATGATTGCTGCAATCCTTAGTTCAGTAGGCTATGATAAGATACGCAGGCAAGAAGATAAACTGTTTTATGATACCTACTAAAACCTTAATGCTAGCTATTTTAAATCTGTTCTCCAAAAAATTCCACTAGATAATCCATTTCTAGAAATTAAATTCCTCCAGCTTACTCCCAAATGTATTCTGCACTAAAAACAGTGTTCAATTTTTCAGTTCAATCCCTTATTATATAGTCAGACAGGTAAAATATCTGACTTTTAAAAAAATTATTTGCATTTGTACAACAAAGTCTAAGTTTTGGTAGCAGCATATATATTTAGAAGACAAAAAGGATATGGTGATGTTAAACTAATTTGCTTATGATCTTGTCCCAGTCTGACATAAACAAGTATCCTGTACCTCCTATAGCCACTTGTTATTTATAATATCTCCTTAGAGACACAGCCGAAGACCAGTATTACATAGCCTAGTGTCACGCAGACTTAGACGATAAAGAGAAAGCTGAAGGCTGCACACTCAGAAGCACCCTGTTCATAACGTTTTTTTCATCCAAAAGAAGCATTTGGAGATGGATGTAAAACAAGCAGATAGCACACATATGGCAATCAACATTGTGGAGGCATATGCACAATGTGCCAACTTTATATTAAAAGTATTATTTCAAATAAGGATTTTGAGCTATCTTTGAAAACTAGGAAATGCAAGATGGCTGCTACTTTTTGTTGCTCAATTTTATTTTGGGGAATAGTATTTAAGAGAAACAATTTTAACAATCAAGAGGAAAGGCAGTTTTCTGTGCAACACAGTTTATAAATTACAATAGAAGTGTGCCTCTTGATATAAGATTTCCTAAATCATTCTCTACATTTCCTAAGACAAAAATTCTTAAAGAAGCTTGCCTCCTCTGAGATACCAATTATTCTACTGTAACACAGCTAGCAATCACTCTAAGAAAAGATGTTTTTATCTAGTTTCAGCTATTTGGTTTTATCCAGTTTCAGCTATTTAGAGAAATGTTTTACTGCATTTACAAATAAGTACTCTCAATATTCTATTTCCATTTCACTTTCTATAGCATAAATCATATGACCTAAGCATGTCATTACGACTATAATTTACATGATGCAATATGACAGTTAAGATGTACTGTGGTAATTTGTGAGTGCTTTCAGTATTATTGTAGTATCAAAAATTTATATGGTTCAGTTATTAAGGCAAATTGCTTCATTCATACAGAGATATCTGACAGTAACCACAAAGGACCTCCAAATTACACTGAAAAAATATCTTCCATGTTCAAATAATCTGTGCACATTCTTACCATTATTTTGCTCACTGAATAGAAGCAGGATGAAATTGTGTCTGGAAAAGTATCAGTTCATATCTCAGACTAAGTTCACCAGACATGGAAGATTATAGAATAAACTCTCCCTTGCCCAGCTAAACGAGCCTGACTATCTTTAACAATTTATAGTCACGAACAGGATGCCCAATTCTTTGGAATGATGCTATTTAGTTTCCACATGCTCACTTACCTTCTGTCATGTTGATTTTCAGCCAGCAGGAAGAAAATAAATAAATAAGGGGTTGACTTGCCTGAACAGACTACAGAGGAAAATGTGCTCAAGTGTATTAGCGTTAGCATTTCTGTTAAGTTTTAGCATGATTTGGGTTACAGTAAATGGAAAGCTGTTTACCCTTCCTCATATTTAGGACTCATTCAGCGAGTCCTCAGTTCTACTGTTTGGAAAAAAAAGAGAATTTCATGAAGGTATCATACATGATAGCAGAAAGTCTAATGATAAGACTTTAGAAAGTAAATATTTGGTATTAACCTGCAGGGCATGAACATGTGTGTATGTGCACACATGGACACACACAGATTTAGATAAACATATGCATTAGAACGGGCACAGAGCTCACACCAGCATTTTCTGAGTTCTAGGGCAAAGAGCTCCCCACACAAGTTTCTTGCCAAACTTTTAAGTTTTGCAACACGCCCCCACAACATCTGATACACAACTTGCATATCTGAAAAGCAGACGAGGGAAATGGTTTTCAAAGCTGAGGCCAAGGTGGGAAGAGAACAGGACAAGCTGAACCACACACCAGCTAATTCATTCAAAAAACAATGCTGTGAACTATATAGACTTCTCTAATACCTGACAGCAGAAGCCTGAAGAAGGCTCAATATGAAAGATATTTAGTTAATTCTCTCTGCTTAGCTTTTTGCCTCACAAGGACGCACCATGTGCCTGATTCCTTTCTGCTTACAATTTTGCTGGTCAAACAGCTATCCAACTTAATCTTCTCTCAGTTCCACTCCCCTTCAAAGCCTTAATTCTTTTCTCGATAAATCAAATTAGCATTTAGGCAAGTACCATCTGCACTTACTTTGTTGCCCAAATAAGATCTGGGTGCACTCCAATAATAAGTCTGTGGCAGTACTTTTCGCGCAGCCACGTTGCTGATGCTAAACTGATGATGCCCATCAAATCTCTTTTGCTTGGGGGTAACTCTGATGAGACCTGGTAAGCCAGTCAGATACCAGCCGTTCATATCTTCTATCTATAATGACAGAAGAAAAAACCCAAAAAACATATTACAATGAAAATCAGGACGTAGGTCATCTCAATAGTCACAGCCTCTCATTCTTCCATTTTTAAAAAAACTGATCAGGTTTATATGATTAATAGCCATTTAGGAACAAAGGAAACAACAAAGTAACAGCAGCAAAATTTTCTCTTATTGTGAGTGACTGGGAGTTATATCTTCTGTTTGAAGTAACTGCAAGTATTTTCTTTCTCTGCTTCATGTGGTCCAGAGTGAGGAGGAAATTCTATCGTACAAACATGCATAAGAGTATTTCCAAGTATTATACAAGTTTTCAGTAAAAAATATCAGTCACAGAGGGTACAGAGGATGAGCTGACAAATGGATATATATTTTCTGATTGTTGTAGCAATTTATAATAACTTGCAATTCTAAAGCCTTACAACTTCTTAGTTCAAATATACTTTTTTTTAGAAAGCCAAAGCAAAGCTGGGAAGCACCATAACTTGAATTTCTGAAATCCCATAACTAGAAGTGAATCATCAGAGAAGAGCACACTGTTCACACAAAGACAGCTTCTGGAGCCTCGATACAAGCAGAACAATAAATTAGCTCAGCTGTGGGATGGAAAATTTTCCAGATGCTGGCATGTAAATGAGTACACTGGGCATATATGATTTTACTCGCAGAGTTCCACCATACCAATACAGCCAAAACCGTGAGCTAGGAGACCTGAAAGCATTTCCCAAACTCTGTCTACAGACATGAATATGCAGCATACATCCATTACAGTGGAATCAGTGTCTAAGCCTTAAGAACTAATTTAAAGTTGAGAGTATATTTGCAGGCTAAAGACATTTTTCTACAGCAAAAATAAGAACAGTAGGTTCATCTCCCTTTCACATCCTTTCCTAGGAATGCAGTATCCAAAAGAAATTCACTCAGAATTCCCCCTGTAAGGCATCCCTTTTTCTTACATAAGCTGCATGTTAGCACATTTAATGTTTCAAAATCCTCAATTATTTCAGGTCTAAAAATCAAATAATGACCTGGAGAAGAGGTTGCCCTACGGATATGTTGCATATAACTCAGGACCAATTATGTATGCACATTCCACGACTGTGTTTATGCACATGGCTTCATTTTTGACTGTTACAACTTCTTTTGCACATTTCACTGTTTAATTGAAATTTTTTCGAACTTTCTCACAATGAAGAGAAACAAAGCTTATAAGCATTTTCTTTTGGATAAATGAAAAATATAGAGCATAAAAGAACATTCATGATTTTATAGTAAGATGCACTCTGGTGAAAATGGACAGTGACAACACACAGAAATACTAAACCAATGACATGTACTCATACAGTATGATTTTTCTTACACTTCTGTAGGTAAGGTGAGAGTGTGTGCAGACGTTTGTTTTCCCAGAGCAGAAACATTCCTCGCAGCCTTTGGGATTATTTTGCTGCAGATTGAAAAAACCTGGTTTGCAACGACCACAGTTTTCTCCTTCAACATGTTCCTGGAAATGCACATTAGAATATCACTTCAGTTGTCATAGATTAGAACTTGAGATCAACAGCTTTATACTCTGCAGGACAGTATAAATGCAAGACTATAAAGACATTTATAGGAAAGACTACTGTTATTTGTGAATACTAGTAGCAAATCCTCCACACATTAAAAGTTAATATGGCTGCATGTAAATAACAGGATGCGGAATTCGGACATTATAAGATTTAAAATTTTTCTTCTACATGAATAGACATTACTTGATTTCAGGGAATAATCTAATTTATCACCTTTACACTTAAGGGTGTCAGAGGGGAAGGAATTATGGGACACAATGTTACAGCCTCAACAAGTGTAGTTTCTAGGCATGACTGATAAAGTCAGTGCATGCCCAATTGATGGAGACTACAGGTACATAGTATTAGTCATACCAATAATTCAGCTATCAGTTTTTCAGTGTCTACCATTAATAGCTGAGTTCAGGCTAAATCCAAGTGTTAAAAGGGCTGCATTTCTTCTTTCAACAACTACATATGTTTGCCAGCCATGCAGGCAGGTTTGCAAACTCTTCCCCTGCAGAAAGCCAGGCATTAAACATACATGAAGAATTCTAAACTTTGCATTTGGTAATTACATTTTTCAGAGAAAGCTTATGTATGTTGTGCATTAAGTCCTTCTAGCTTACACAATAAATCAATTTGTCCTACAGGCAAAGATAAAGCTCGCTTTTCTACCAGGAGTATGTTGCCAAAGGCTCATGCTATGGTACTGGCTTAGTAATTCAATATTTTTCCCAAGATAGCCCAGAAAATTCTTTCCCTTTCAAAAGTGTTATACACAATCTCTTTAATCCTGGAGACAGTGCTCTATTGTACAGAATCACAGAATCATAGAATCACAGAATAGTAGGGGTTGGAAGGGACCTCTGTGGGTCATCTAGTCCAACCCTCCTGCC